AAAACACATGAATTTATTTTATCATTTTATTTGTGAACTAAAAAAATTTTTTAAATTTTTTAAAAATTAAAACATAATTTGTAAATATTATTTTTCTAAATTAATAAATATGTGATGAAAAATTAAAAATATTTTACAAAGTAAAAATATTTATATATTTGTTTGTAAATTGAAAATTCAATAATAAAAAAAAAAAAGAGAGAGAGAGAGAGATCGTTGGTTCTAAAGTATAAGAATGATGGTTTTGGTGATCTCTAACCGTTGGACACCTCTTGTAAAAAAAAAAGGTAATTTCTTTTAATAATACTAATAAATCTTAAATGTATTTTATATTTAAATTTTTTTCTAAATATTTATGTAATTTACAATTATGTGTTTTAACATAGAATGCCTATTTCACCCTTCCCTTGGTTAACTTCGACACAAAAAAAATGACGATAATAGGTGTAAGTGGCTAATTATGTGTGGTGGTTGGGGGGTGGGGGGTGGAGGAGATGCAAGGAAAATAGTCCTAACAAAGCATTAACAGAAACTTAAAAAGACTAGGGTATTTGTGTTAACCTAATCATTTTTTCTATACTCTTATAAAATATTGAAAGAGGCAACTTCCACGTAATTAACTCAATATATAATCGTTGCTTTTTTATATTCGTTAACTTGTAGACTTTACTTAAGCAAATTTGGTACTCCACCATCAAGATGGTAAAATACTATTAAATAATATTTAATTAATTTAATTAATATAAAAGTAATATTATATTTATAACTCAAATCTTGTCAACTCTTTTTTATAATCCAACTTATAATTAATCAATTTGTAATGGGTTTTATCTATTCAATTGCGAGGTATCAGAATTATAAGAAGAAATTGGTAAGATTTGACTGTGAGTCAATCTAACGTAAATTAGCACGGTTCTTTCTCGTGTCAGGTTTTCCTAAAATTCTTCATTCAGTACTCTGTAGCTACTGACAGGCCAGTACAGCATATTCTCATGGCTGAAGCTCTGATCACAGCAGCCAAATGCTTTGTTCCTAAATCAAAGGAGGAAGAAGAAGAAATCGAAAGAATCTACAACAGTTACAGAAACATAATCGCAACCCTTCCAAGAAACAGAGGTTGGGCGACTCAGCACCTCTGTCAATATCAAGGTTTTTGGTTTCAACCCTTGGTTGGTCTTGAAGGAATCATGTGGATGCAACAACACTTCATCTCTCGACCCACTGACGTTTACCTTATCTCCTCTCCAAAATCAGGTACTACTTGGCTTAAAGCTCTCCTTTTCTCTATAATGAATCGAACTCGATTTGATTTTTCAACTCACCCCTTGCTTACCACTAGTGTCCATGAGTGTGTTCCCTTCATGGATCTTGACCTTTTCAAGACCACTCCGATTGCTGATCCTGAAGTTCTTCCATCACCACGTATTTTTGCAACTCATATACCTTTCACTTTGTTACCAGATTCCATACAAAAATCATCTTGTCCGATTGTTTACATTTGTAGAAATCCTAAAGATGTGCTCGTTTCTTTATGTCAATTCGTGATGAAGGTGAAACCCAAGGATCTGCCTCCACTGTCGCTAGAAGATGCATTTGAAATGTTTTGTGAAGGGATTTCTCCGTGTGGATCCTATTGGGATCATGTTTTAGGATATTGGAAAGCAAGTTTAGAGTTTCCAAGCAAGATCCTTTTCTTGAAATATGAAGATATGAAAGAGGAGCCTTTACTCAATATAAAGAGAGTGGCGGAGTTTGTTGGTCGGCCATTTTCTTTAGAAGAAGAAGAAAATGGGACTGTGAAAGAAATTCTGACACTATGTAGTTTTGAGAAGATGAAAAACTTGGAGGTGAATAAGAATGGCTTCTACCGTGTTCGCAACACTAAAAACGATGTATTCTTTAGAGAAGGAAAGGTTGGAGATTGGGAGAATCATCTAACGAATGAAATGGCGAAACGTCTTGATGAAATTTCAAGGCAAAAGTTCCAAGGTTCCGGTTTAATGTTTTAGTTTTATACCCAAGATTAGTGATCTGTTCTGTTCTTCTTTGCTGGTTAAATTAACGTAGAGTTTGTATTACTTTCATTTCCGTAGGAGATGATTGTAACTTGTCAGATGTGGTTGAACGATTCAGATCAATTACAAATATTTTCTTTACATTCTATTATTAATTAATATCAACCCTAAAGTATACATAAATTATTGTAAAATCACCATCATCTACCACCTAATTCAAATTTTATGATCAAAGTTGAGAATAGCTAATATCATCAAACCACAAGGTTCATCTTCAATATCTAGTGGGTTTCTTAGCCCAAAATACAAACTTATAGTCCAAATCAAATAAAAATTCATTCAAAGGGGGAGTTGAGTCAAGCGGCTCCGCTGGTTAAATACTCAAACTTGGCTCAAGTAAGACTCGAATTAGGTACCGAGCCAAGTTTGAGTCTACCCCGGCTCGGCTTGATTCGGCTCGCGAGTCAATAGTGGCTCGTTTAGGATTTTTTTGCGAAAAATACAAGTTTTAGGTTTGTAATTGGACATGCAAAAGGTTTAAAAAATCGCAAATTAACCCTTAACCCAAATCGCATAAACAATTTCCCCAAAATCATAAACCCTATTGTCATATTGCTAATCATTGTTTATATTGTGTAATTTGTTGATGTGATTTATGTTGATTTGGATACAAATTTACCAAAAATTGGATTTGATTTGTGTAAAACAAGATCTGTAGGTTATATAAAAAAATGGTCAAACAAGCCGTAATTTAGCCATAATCAAGCCAATTCAAGCTCGAGTTTTTTTAGTCGAGTCACGAGTTGAATTTTCCTGACTCATGACTCGACTCAAACTCGTCTAATGCTTAACCGAATCAGGCTCATTTAGGGTGATACTCGGCTTGACTCGGCTCGTTTACACCCATCTCCTTATTAAATCAATTTTACCCCATGGCCTCTGCCTCTGTCTATGCTGATTTTGATCAAGAACCTTCAAATCGAGAAAGCAACGTTGAAAATCATTAACAAGAAGAAGAAGAAGAAGAAACCAATATTTGTCAGAAATGTAAAAAGAGCCCTTCATAAACAGAAGGCTTGGAAAATAGCTATTATCACTTATACGAAGGGGTTCTGGTATGAACAGATATTTGGGGTCGGAGTCTTGTGAACTTTAAGCCAAAATCCAGTGACATTCTCTTAGCCTCATTTCCAAAATGGTGCTATTATGATAATGTGTCCTTTTCTTCAAATATGAAGATGAGTTGGCTAAGTTTCTAGGACGTCCTTTCTCAATTGACGTGTAGCTGAAGAAACAGCAAATTAAGCTTTCTACTTTTTTTAAAAATTGAGTAAGTTAGAGGTGAACAAAGGTCACGAAACTAGAAAATAAAGCTTTCTTTAGGCGAGATGAGGTTTCGAAAAGCTTAATCGGATTACAAAGAAAACATTGGTTGTTTCCATGGATTTCATAATAATTAAAATATTGGATAGTTGGCCGACACCTGACATGAAAGCATTGGTCGACTGAAATTTTTCATAAATTACAAAACAATCTTACATTGTTCAAGGTTTCTTTTACAAACCATACAAAAGCCCTGGTTTTATCAATCATAAATACAAACAAACTATTTTTGGGTACCGAACAGTTCAATAAAAACTTTTTGATATATTATTCAAGAAGTCATGAGTTCGAGTCTTTTCTCAGTTGCTAATAAGGATAGTCATTAGAACTTTTATTAGATGATAGTTATAGGATCTCGAAGAATTAGTTAAAATGCGAGTAAGATGTTACGAACACTTCCAATCATAAAAAATAAAAAATAAAAAAATCATAAATACAAAGTTACAAACACGCACATGCACATTTTCAAATAAATCATTAGAAATTTGTAAAAGATTGAGAATCTTACTGTCTTAATTAATATGCAATGACTTCCAGGTTCCAGCAGCCAAGCAACTAGAGATGGCAATGGGCCTGACATTTTCGGGTACCCGACCCGACCCGGCCTAAAAGGGGCGGGCTTTACCTGAGGTTGGCAGGCTTGGGCTTGGGCTTGGGCTTGGGCCCGGGCTTGATTTAAGGCCCATCTCGAGTACGGGCCAGGCATGTGTATATCTTTAGGCCCGGCCTGGCCCGGCCCCAAAAATTTTAGTATTAATTTTACTAATTTACCCTTATACTATATATTTAATTACAATATTATCCTATATATATATATATATCCATTTTTCCCAAACCCCAACCTCAATTTTCATCCCATATTGAAGGTTTAACATATTAAATTTGCCTTTAAATGAGTTAGATGGGTTTGGTTCAACTTATAAAAGCGGATTTCACCATAACATATTATGCACAGCTGAAAAGTTAGTATGATCAAATATTATGGAGTTTTAATTGCTCACTTATTGCTTAAATTATTTGCGGAAATAGCTTCAATTAATATTTAAAAACTATTTCTAAAATTAAAAATATAAAAAAAATTAATATTTATTAATATTTAAAGATAAACATTATTAAAAAAGGGGGGCTTGGGCCGGGCCTACGGTTATAAAAAACCCGTCAGACTGGGCTTAGGCTTTGCCTATCATACCTGTAACGGGCTTGGGCCTGTGTCATGAGGTCGGGCTTGGGCCTTGGCCAAGGGTTACCCGGTCCCGGCCCGGCCCATTGCCATCACTACAAGCAACCCAGTTGGCTAGTTCTTAGTTTTTTAATATATTTTTAATATTTTTATTTTTGATATATTTAAATAATAAAAGAATTTAAAAAAAAAAACATATTTTGTTCATTTTATATTTGAGGTATTTCATTTTTTAAAAGTAAAAGTAATTTAAAAATTGAACAAAACAAACTCCTAATAAAAACTTATATTAAACTACATAAAATTTAAAAAATGGCCATCACCATCCCAAGCTACAAAGCAGGTCCGCCACTGACAACATCAAGATCTGTGCTTAAATATTTAGAACACTAATTTCCAAAGTCAATAGCTGCAACAAAGCTATGGCAACCAATTATGAGAAAGAAGAGGATGATGAAGCTTTCCGAAAAGCTACCAAAAAATATGAAGAGATTGTCTCAAGGCTTCCCCATGGAAGACATTGGATGACTGATCAACTAGATCTACATCAATACAAAGGCTATTGGCTAGCATCCAGCACCCTAAAAGGAGTCATCTTCATCCACGATTTGTTCACAACTCAATCTACTGATATTTTCTTAGCCACCTCTCCGAAAACAGGTACGACGTGGTTCAGAGCTCTCATTTTCACCACCATGAACCGATCACGCTATGAGTTTTCTTCACACCCTTTACTTAACACTGGCCCTCATGATTGTTTTCCGTTATTGGACTCATACATAAGTCAAAATGAATCCATTTCTAATCTCAAAACTAGTCCTTCGCCTCGCCTTTTCTCGACTCATCTTCCTTATGATTTGTTCCCAAAATCCATCACAGACTCTTCTTGCCGTTTCGTTTACGTGTGCCGCAATGCAAAAGATGTTCTTGTTTCTAAGTGGTTCTTCATGAACAAGTTGAGGTCCAAAGACTTACCGCGTCTTTCACTAGAAGAAGCATTTGAGCTGTTTTGTGAAGGAATTTCACATGATGGACCATTCTGGGACCATGTGTTAGGGTATTGGAGAACAAGTTTAGAATCCCCGGAGAAAATCTTATTCTTAAAATATGAGGAAATGAAGAGGGAACCTGTGGTTCATTTGAAGAGATTGGCTGAATTTTTGGGTCAACCTTTTTCAGCACAGGAAGAGAGTGAAGGTGTGGTGCGGGAAATAATTAAGCTGTGCAGTTTTAAGAACTTGAGCAACTTGGAAGTAAATCAAAACAGTGCACAGAACTTCAGCAACCAACTCATCGTTGATAATCGATTCTTCTTCAGAAAGGGCGAGGTTGGTGATTGGAAGAATCATCTCACGTCTGAGATGATAAAATGTCTGGATCAAATCACAGAAGAGAAATTGCATGGTTCTGGATTGACATTTCATGTGTAAGTGTGAAGAGACATTTTTCTTTTTCTATTTCTGGGTGGCTTCCAAAATTGTAATGCAAGCAATGTTGTCACTGGAGTTCTGGGTGGCTTCCAAAATTTTAAGGTATTACAGAAAGGTTCATTGATTCTAAATTACATGAAAGCCCAATCATACAGAATTTACCTAAATGCCATATGGCCAACAAGCCATGCCGATTTGCCATTGTACTTTAAGCTGCTGCACTGAACTTAAATCAAATTTACTCAATTTCTGAAAGTTAAGTTACTATAGTAATGGATAAGAACTGTACATATAAACAAGCTTTAAAAATTGCACATAGTTCCAACTTCCAAGTAAATATTCTCCAACTCAAGAAATTCTTTACAAAAGGGAAGACTTCAAAAGAATTAATTTCAAATGTTATCTCACAAATACACAATGATGGCCAGATGATCTGGATGCTGTTTTAAGTTACAAAAGCAAGAAGAAGAAGAGAAAAAGAGNTGTTCATTTTATATTTGAGGTATTTCATTTTTTAAAAGTAAAAGTAATTTAAAAATTGAACAAAACAAACTCCTAATAAAAACTTATATTAAACTACATAAAATTTAAAAAATGGCCATCACCATCCCAAGCAACAAAGCAAAGCAGGTCCGCCACTGAAGACATCAAGATCTGTGCTTAAATATTTAGAATACTAATTTCCAAAGTCAATAGCTGCAACAAAGCTATGGCAACCAATTATGAGAAAGAAGAGGATGATGAAGCTTTCCGAAAAGCTACCAAAAAATATGAAGAGATTGTCTCAACGCTTCCCCATGGAAGACATTGGATGACTGATCAACTAGATCTACATCAATACAAAGGCTATTGGCTAGCATCCGGCACCCTAAAAGGAGTCATCTTCATCCACGATTTGTTCACAACTCAATCTACTGATATTTTCTTAGCCACCTCTCCGAAAACAGGTACGACGTGGTTCAGAGCTCTCATTTTCACCACCATGAACCGATCACGCTATGAGTTTTCTTCACACCCTTTACTTAACACTGGCCCTCATGATTGTTTTCCGTTATTGGACTCATACATAAGTCAAAATGAATCCATTTCTAATCTCAAAACTAGTCCTTCGCCTCGCCTTTTCTCGACTCATCTTCCTTATGATTTGTTCCCAAAATCCATCACAGACTCTTCTTGCCGTTTCGTTTACGTGTGCCGCAATGCAAAAGATGTTCTTGTTTCTAAGTGGTTCTTCATGAACAAGTTGAGGTCCAAAGACTTACCGCGTCTTTCACTAGAAGAAGCATTTGAGCTGTTTTGTGAAGGAATTTCACATGATGGACCATTCTGGGACCATGTGTTAGGGTATTGGAGAACAAGTTTAGAATCCCCGGAGAAAATCTTATTCTTAAAATATGAGGAAATGAAGAGGGAACCTGTGGTTCATTTGAAGAGATTGGCTGAATTTTTGGGTCAACCTTTTTCAGCACAGGAAGAGAGTGAAGGTGTGGTGCGGGAAATAATTAAGCTGTGCAGTTTTAAGAACTTGAGCAACTTGGAAGTAAATCAAAACAGTGCACAGAACTTCAGCAACCAACTCATCGTTGATAATCGATTCTTCTTCAGAAAAGGTGAGGTTGGTGATTGGAAGAATCATCTCACGTCTGAGATGATAAAATGTCTGGATCAAATCACAGAAGAGAAATTGCATGGTTCTGGATTGACATTTCATGTGTAAGTGTGAAGAGACATTTTTCTTTTTCTATTTCTGGGTGGCTTCCAAAATTGTAATGCAAGCAATGTTGTCACTGGAGTTCTGGGTGGCTTCCAAAATTTTAAGGTATTACAGAAAGGTTCATTGATTCTAAATTACATGAAAGCCCAATCATACAGAATTTACCTAAATGCCATATGGCCAACAAGCCATGCCGATTTGCCATTGTACTTTAAGCTGTTGCACTGAACTTAAATCAAAATTACTCAATTTCTGAAAGTGAAGTTACTATAGTAATGGATTAGAACTGTACATATAAACAAGCTTTAAAAATTGCACATAGTTCCAAGTAAATATTTTCCAACTCAAGAAATTCTTTATAAAAGGGAAGACTTCAAAAGAATTAATTTCAAATATTATCTCACAAATACACAATGATGGCCAGATTATCTGGATGCTGTTTTAAGTTACAAAAGCAAGAAGAAGAAGAGAAAAAGAGAATATTCCGGTTCAACTATGTTATAATCCGAAAGAGCTGAGAAATTATTACAAGAATTGCTAAAGAACAAATAATTCTACAGCTTGCAGAAAGGGAAAAAGAAAACCCATCAGCCAAAAATGAATCCCCCACAACTCTTCACCTAGTACCTTTAAACTTTCTAATGTATATGAAATTTGTTTTCTTTTTCGATACTATGGTAAGAAAAGGAAAAATGAAAAAAAGCTCCTAAAAAGTCAAAATTTTCTACTTTAGACTCTACAACAATGCGATCACTGGTAGAGGATTTAAAATATTGAAGATCCATTAAATTACTGATGATCAAGAAGAAGCAGATTTTAACTTGTGACACAATCATCGACATACGGGTGGCTTTGATTTATATACCGTTCCCATAGAGGCTTATACCTGCTAATGGCCAATCTCAGCCATGGCTTCATGTTTCCATTGAAGTGAATAACAGCTGCACTCTCAATCAGACGATTGTCAATGTTCATATCATAACCCAATCCTAAAACATGCCATCTCCGATCGAGTGGCTCTGTGAGTCCATAAAAAGCTAGAAGAGCAGGAGGCAGAGTTCCCAGCTTCCACAGTGTCCGATCAGCATTCTGCTGCTGCCAGTAATGATACCGTGCAGTCACATTTGCTTTCCTCCAAGCAATCAGATCAAATACATTCATACCAAAAGCCCATCCACATGCCTGCGGATCAAACTTTGAGCCAATTATTGGATTTGAGAAATTGAGATACTTGTAATAACGATGATATGCTTCAAGACAAGTTTCGACTGCACCATTCACATTTCCATGTAAATCCAATGAGAAGAGTGGTGTCAGATCCTTCTGAACAACAACATCATCATCGAGAAAAACTATTTTTTCCAATTGAGGATAGATCTCTGGAATGTAAAAGCGAAGGTGATTTAGCAAAGACAGGTACTTTGGATTCCGCAATTTTGGCTCAACCCTCATGTCTTGATACTCACCAAAATAATAGGCCCGTGATTCTGCATCAAAGAGCTGTTTCACAATGGGAGCATATGAAGCGTTCAACCATGAGAACTCTTCTATATTCTGCACTTCTATAGTGGAACCTTTGAAGTCGTTACTGAGGAGCCAAGCCTGCATAGCTCCATAGGTGACTCCATTGGTGACAATGTGGAAGACCATCTGTTTTGGATGATCAGCATTGACGACAGTAGAATTGACAACCACGGAGGTAGCCAGCACATTATCTGAAAAAATGCAAAAATGATAGAGATTATTGTCCACAAGTCGCATAGAATTCTTTCTCTCAGCAGCAAGATCTTGAAGGGGCATGCTTTTAAGCCAATCAACTGTGAGCTTGACTTTTAGGCAGTGGAGACTCTTTGGTAGTGATTCAGCTGCCAATTGCCCAAACAATGTACTCTGAACTGTTGCTGCATTTGCACGCTCTTCAAGGGCTTGAATATGAGATCTCATTGTCATTATTGTAGTTGCAATGTCATAATGCACATCTTGCGCTTTAAAGATGAGGGATGATAAGCTACTTATAATTGGCTCTGCTTCATCTAGTGTAATAGGCTCTCCTCTCATAGCAGCTTTCGAAAGCAAAAGCTGGCAACTTCTGATCTTCTTGCTGAGCTCCCAAGCAAGGTGAAGGTTATTGTGCTCTTTGGCAATGATGACATAGGCCTTGGCAAGTGTCATTTGCTCTGCTAACTGCCGGGAAAATGAGGTAGCACTCAATATTTCTTCAGTAAAATTTAAACCCTCACGGGCAACCTGCTCTGTTCTTGCACTTTTTTCCTGGCAAAGATAGGAAGAGAAGAGTAAGCCCCGAAAGTAATTAATCCAGAAACCACTGAGCAAGAACACATAAACTATTTATTATGCTTAGTTAATATTCAACCACTTCACAGAATTTATTTCAAAGAATAACTTGCTGAGAAGGATGACATTGCAAGAAGTGCAAAGAGGCCCAACATGGTGAAACATTTAATTGGCAGCAAAAATAACAGCTTAAAGATTGACTTGGATGATTTGATCAAAATTTTATTTTCTAATTAACTACTTCACCCTTGTATCTAGGGCTNCCAGTTGTTGGCCAAGAACGGAGCTGACTTCAGGTCTCTTTTAACTTTATTTCTGTATGATATCGTAAACGTAATTAAAGTATTAATTAATTGAACACACATGTGACGTTCGGATATTTTTCTGGGTAATTTTTTTTTTTTTTTTTTTAGGCAGAACGATTTATATACCCAAGATTTATCAAAACGATTAATTGGTACTTAAAAGGTTTTGAAACGATAAATAAGTACCTTCTATCATGTTCTGTTAGTGATTTTTGTTTGATAATAGTGAAAAGACTAAAATGCCCTTGAAAGTTTAATATTTTAGTTTTTTATAAATTTAAAAATTTCTAAAAAATCCCCTAGGTTTTCTAATTTGACTAAATACCCCAATATATAAAAATTTTATAAAATAACAAAAACACCACCGCCACCCGCAGTGCCAGATTCCGGCCACCACCGACGGAATCTGGCCGGAAAAATTGTGTTACGACACAGACCCATTGGATCTGTGACGTAACACGTAGATCTGGCATTTTCCGGCAAGATCCGTGGCTGATCTGGTCAGAAAAGGTCAGATCTACGGCCAGATCTGACCGTCGAGGCCGGAATCTCACCGGAAAACTGTGTTATGACACAGACACTTCGGATCTGTGTCGTAACAAAAGATCTGGTTGGGAAATGCCAGATCTGGCCGTCGAGGTCGAAAAAGGCCAGACGTAAATCTGGCATTTTCCGGCCATATCCGCCACGAATCTGGCTAGAAAAAGCCAGATCGATGCGTTACGACACAGATCCGACGGGTCTATGTCGTAACACAATTTTTCGACCAGATTCCGGCGGTGTTGGGCGGAATCTGACACTGCGGGTGGTAGGGGTGTTTTTGTTATTTTATAAAATTTTTATATATTGGGATATTTAGTCAAATTAGCAAACCTAGGGGGTTTTTTAGAAATTTTTAAATTTATAAAAAACTAAAATATTAAACTTTCAAGGGCATTTTAGTCTTTTCACTATTATCAAACGAAAATCACTAACAGAACATGACAGAAGGTACGTATTTGTCGTTTCAAAACTTTTTAGGTACCAACTTATCATTTCGATAAACCTTGGGTATGTGTAAGTTGTTCTCCCTTTTTTTAATGACTTAACCACCTCGGTGTTTGGATGATTGAATAGAGATGCTTGAATATATTATTCAAGAAATCTTGAATTTAATTACCCTTAATTATTAATAAAGATGATCATTAAAGGTTTATTTAGTTATTAATTTAGGATTTAGAGGATTAGTTATTAGTTAAAAAAAAAAAAAAAAAAAGAAATTTGTGACTCAACTAATCTCTTAAGAGTAGATATTTGAAACAAGTCACGTTGATTCTAGTTGTTTGGCTCATGCATTTGGTATGAATAGGTATGGAGCAATGGGAAGTTGAAGAAAGTGAGAGGAAGACAGTGGCATGTTTGGGAGATGGAGATTATAAAGATTCACGTTGCGTATCAATGACTCTGCTTGTGATCTTCCAGCAGAGAGTAGGGTTTCTCCTCTCATTCCCAAAGCAACTTTGACTAGTAGCGGTACTGGTCAACACGAAATCATAGAAGATGATCACCACATCCATGGGAACTTGTTGAAGGAAGAAGAAGAAGAGACTTTAATGTTTAAGTCGATTGATTTTGATGATTATGCGTGGAGGGCGTATCATGAACGTCTCCATCTCAAGACCCACTTGAGGATTATACAATGTTTTAATAACCGATCCGGGACAAAACCACCGATCGAACCGGTTTGATTGGCGGGTCAAACTGATGACATCATCATACTGCAAATACAATCCAACGCCATGCAAACAAAACTTGCAATGTTCTGTCAATGCAAAACTACAAGCAAAAACTGCAGTTTGCAAAATATAAAGTTGTCTTGTTGGGGAGGTTAAGTAAATAAAACAACCCAGAACCAAACACTACAATTTTTTAAAACAATTGAAATTATGTCAAAAATCTAAAATTTTCTCTGTTTTTAAATCATTATACTCAATCTCTTAGCATGCATTTCCTCTTTACCAAGTTTTCATCACAAAGCATTCCAATAATTTGACCAAGTTTTCAAGAAACCCAAAATTTAGATGAATGCGTAAATGATAATTTATAAAATAAATAAATCATACTCAGTTCCCTTTTCTCTCAAAATTGGAAACTATTCAGGCGAAAGAACCGCACGCCACTCCTCTGGTTTCTGGACAGACCCAAATGCGGCCATGGCCACAACAAAACGACCGCGAAAGTTGCACTTGCTGCGGTGAAAATGGAGAGAGCCGCTGAACCCAAACGAGGAAATGGAGCAAGCGGCGGGATCAAGAGAAGAAAAAGAGGTTAAAGGGTGGTTGGTGGAGAGTGAATGAGAAAAGAAAAGAGAGTTGTGGTGGGCTTGGTTGTGGTGGTGAAGAGAAAGGATTTGTGGAAGAGATAGGCGAAGTTATGAGAACTTGAACCTTAATTCCACCCAAAGTGGCGAAGAAGAACTGAAGATCATTACCTTATTGTCGGCGACTGCCGGAAATGCATTGACCACGACTGCCGAAAATGCAGAAATGAAGAAACGGTGAAGATGAAATGAAGCTGAAGTGAAGAATGAAGATTGAATGAAGCTAGAATGAAGATGAAATGAAGAAAATGTGAGTGGAAGAGAGAAAATGTCGAATGAAAACTGAAAAGGAGAAATTAAATTTAGGTTTTTACAAATTAGGATGGGGTTAAGAGTAACCCGGTTTTGGCTTAAAAGCGGTTGGACCGGTGGTTCACTACAGTAACCATGGTCCAACCATGGGTCAATCTAGGTGAATCATTAACCCCAAAGTTTTTGCTCAACCTGGCCCAGCTCATTGGCCAGTTCCCAGTCGAACCGGTTAAACTATCCGAGTTAGGCTGGGTTTTAAAACATTGTATTTATATTAGAGTTGTCGACCACCTCAACATTAATGGACCACGCAGACACATTTAGAGGTCCTGCTAATATATAGCAAACAATAGAGCAAATTGCATTCATTGTAAACGAGAGAGGTGAAACAGTATTACAATAATATTGGCTCACTTGGACATAATAATGGTTTATTATGGAATGATGGTTTTAGAAATGGTTAGAGGAAGAAAGAATATTGATGTTGCAGTTGATCATACTAGTGAACTATATTTTTCACATTGGATTTACAACCGTCTTGAGCTTGATGAAGAAGTAGGATTGCAAGAGATCGTAAATGAAGAGGATAGACACCCAAACCTCTCTTTACTTCTCCAGAATCACTCGCAAGAGATTCTTCAACTCCACTTGTATGCTAGCACTATAATTCAATGATATTGTATCAAATTACCCATTTTTATAAATTGTGTTACTCTGTTAACGAATATCGCAATTGCAAAGTTGAAGAAGCTTTAGTAAAACAGGCAGTTTAATTAAGCTCGCAATATAGAATTTAGTGGAAGTTTTAGCAGTCGTATAATGATCCTGACGAGATTAATCTACAAATTTAGTCAAGATTGGGGGCTAGCTGTAGCACATCAATTCGGTTAATGAATCTTCCTGTAAAGAGAGAAGTGGAGTGGAAAAATCTGATCAAAAATTAAATTCTGAATGGAAAAGTTACAGCAAATGGAAAATTTGACAAGAAAGGGCATAAATGGTTACATGTTTACTTTAAAAGAAAAAGGAAAACATATTTATTTTATTTTGTCTATTTTTACCAATAAACAAAAAAGAATGTTGAATGGAAATAGATTGACTCCATATGTGGTTGGATTAAATTCTATACATCTAAGCAATGGCGGATCCAAGATTTTTGTCAAGAGGAGTCTCCGCAGCTTCGTCATTGTTTGTTAAACAACTAGTAAATACTTTAAAAAATTATTAAACCTTAAACAAATAAAATAATATAATATCAAGATCCTAAGAGAAAATAATGTAATAACGCAATACTTTTCTACTTAAATAAATTCATGGGAAGCAAAATTTTGAGTAAATGTGTTAAATAAACTTTGAGCAAAATCTTCTTTTAATTTTTTAATTTTTGGCTTCCAAAGATTATAATATAAATTTTCATTACTCTGACCAGACCTAAACTAAGCTAAAGTCAACCAAAACTTAAATTAAGTCAACATTGTATTGACTTTTAATATAAATTAATTAAAAAAAAAAGAATTTTCTTAATATAAACATAGATAATAACTCAAATTTCTTTATTTATTTTGAGTAGCAGAAAGGTGACGTTTGAAATGTAGGAAAGTGATAGGTGAAGTGTAAAGAATAACTTCTTTTAAAATATAGTTAAGGTTTTAATTTGGGAAAACAAGTTCCTTCTTAGACACAAAATAGAAAATAAACTCCCAAGATCCAAGTCTTTTCTCGTCAAATTAGAATAAAAAACCTCAAAAAAAAAAAAAAAAATGATTCAGCTCTAAAATAAACTAAATTGAAATGAGCAATATACTTACCTAAAACTAATAAAACAACTAATTGTAATACCTTAAGTAGTGAAAGCTTCAACAATTTTGGTCTTCAAAAGTTTTAAGATCGAATAGCATGAGGAAGAGAATGAGAGAATGAGAGAGTAAAGAATTTTGGAAGTAAAACCATAAAATGAATGTGGAGCCGGAAGAAGAGTGGAGAAAGTTTTAAACTTTTAATATGATGTTGGTTTTGGAATATATATATTAATAACAAGTTTTCTGTAGGCTTAGCTATATGTATAATAATTCTTATTTTTTTAAAATCCAAGGATGAACCTAAGTATATATATTAATAGCAATTTTATAGGTCTATATATTAATAATTTTTTAAAAAAAAAAACTTGAGGGTAAGGTTTAAGCCTACCCTTAAAGGGGTTGGATCCGCCCCTGCATCTAAGCAAATTGAGTCATCAACCCACATTATTATTATTATTATTTTTTTAACTCTTCTTTTAGGTTAAATTTTGAACTTGTTCGGGTTTTATAGTTGTTCAAAGAAAATGATTACCTAATTCCATGCGTTTAACCCAAAAAAAAACCCCCTCTTCTTCCAATTTTTCAATCTTCTTTCCAATTCTACAAACAAACATTTTTTATTATTTAAAAAAAAAAAAAAAAAAAGAGATTATGCATTTTGAAGAGATTGTTGAAGTGTTTTTTTATATCGAAAGTATATGTGGGTTTAAAGAAGTGGGCTTGCATGTGTAGGTTTGACGGATTGGGCCAGTATTTTTTTTTGCGGCTGTTATCTGCTACAGAAGTATATTACACGTGATGATCTCTTGTGACTGTGCGAGGATTTAAGAGGTTTGCATACATGCAGATGCAGATGAGAGAAGCATCTTTTGGCTTTCTCCTCTTACCGGGTGGATGGAAGGCGACACGGATGAATTAGCGAAAGGAAACCTCAGAGGTTTTAATGGACCATTTCGAGGTTGTATTTTGTAATTTTCTGCAGTAGACCAATCACCATCAATCAACTTTCTATCCTCAACTTTATGCTATTGTATCATGACTATTGAAGTCGCTCATTCAATCGGATGGATTTCATTATGGATCTCATTCTCTGGCTGTTGTTTGATGTCTTCATCCTGTGAAAATTCAACCTTGTTGGGATCTACAGATGAAATGGCTCAGTTTCATTTCTACTATTAGCAGTGTAAGTGAAAGAAAATGAAAGCTGACCATTTAAAAGTACAAACAAGTTTATCTTAAAAAAGTACAAACAGCAAGTTTGTTCAGAGTAAAAAACCATCTAACTCAAAACCCAGGAAATCATAAGCCCCATTATTAAAAGCTGCATCGGTGTGATTGCTTGTTTGTCTCAACTACGTAGAGAATCATCTAACTCATAAGCCAGACAATCAAGGACAACACCATCAAGAACAGCATCAGTATGAGTACTATTAGCAGTATAAGTGAAAGAAAATTAGAGTCTGATGGCCGCCGGTTGTCCTCACCATCATCCTCATCGTCCTTGTCTTTCTTGTTACGTGTTCTTTGTAGACTGCGTATACGACCTGGGGCTATGTTCTGAGCCCGCCCGCCCTTGCTACACTTTACCCATTTAATCTTTTGGAAGAAAACAAGTTCGCCCTGAAAATAATAAATAAACAGAATCCGTATCAGTTACATTAATTTCATAAGAACATATGCATAAGAAATTCTAGACTTTATATACCTTCGAATAGAAACCTGTAGTGGCCAACTTGAAATAATTGTTACTGAATCCACCATTCAAATCCATTACCATCAGGCTATGAACCTGTGTACATGGGTAGCAAGCACAAATTTTAAACTAACAATTATAGAAAAACAGATAGAAGGATCATGACAAAATACTCTCTTGAGTTGGAAGTGAAATTTTCCATGAAGCTGACAACAAAATGAGTAATGAAACAATTGGAAACTTCATTTTCTCAAAGTTCAATTAATTCTAGCTTCAGTATTCAGTGTTTAGTTTGAGTTGTATTTATATATGAATTATGGAGATGATCATAACGTGTATTTGAGCTAATCCTAACGTCACGTTCGGATATTTACATTGTTGGTCCATTAACTTAATTTAATTTAATATTTCCTGTTAATTCTGCTTCTGGGTCCTAGACTTTTGACTATGACTAAGAGAATTTTGCCATCTCCCTCTTATTCCATCTACACTTCAATCACTTTAACTTGTATTTCGAATTACTTATCTATAAACACAAAGGTTATGAAAATTTTTGGGGTGCAACGTTTCGGTCCAAGAGTTTGGGGTTCCAACTGCACCCCAAAGAACTCCCAAAAATTCCACCCCGAACTCTCCAAGTTGGGAACTTTGGGGTAGAACTCCCCGGAACTCCCCAAAGTTCTACCCCAAACTCCCCAAGTTGGACAACTTATTTGCATGCCAACCCAAATCACAACATGATTATCTCTTAAGGTTTTCTTGGTTTAATTACGCTTTCAAATTGAAAATGGATTAGCGGATTTCTGCCTGTGGTAAATTCGGCTTTGTCTCATTGTGCAGTGGACAATCGATCAAAGCATTTTGCTGGCAATGGGCACCAGTATTGCTCCGGCCTCATACTACTGTAGTATTGCAAGCGGTTCACCATTCTGTGAATTCAAAGCTTATACGGTTGGTATCAATTTTTTGAATATAGGAATATGTACCTATTATATTTTATACATTATATTCTTGTTCTAAGTCTCTTCACATCTTAACTTTGATATCCATAATATATTGATTATTTTTCTCATAAATTAATGATGCTTGATTTTTGTCAAAATAAAAGAATATACTGAATGCAATTCGAGAAACCACTAACCATCAATATGGTGTCCTGTGATTGGATTATAACCATACCTTATGAAATAGTGTGGCTCGTTCTAAAATTTGCCCAACACTCATACGGTGCTGTGTTTTTCCTTTATGGTCATGATCCTTTTATTTGTTCCATGCGTGATGCAAGAGGCTTGTATGAATAGCTTGAGAATATTTCTATAATTGTTAGTTTAAAATTTGTGCTTGCTACCCATGTACACAGGTTCATAGCCTGATGGTAATGGATTTGAATGGTGGATTCAGTAACAATTATTTCAAGTCGGCCACTACAGGTTTCTATTCGAAGGTATATAAAGTCTAGAATTTCTTATGCATATGTTCTTATGAAATTAATGTAACTGATACGTATTCTGTTTATTTATTATTTTCAGGCGAACTTGTTGTCTTCCAAAAGATTAAATGGGTAAAGTGTAGCAAGGGCGGGCGGGCTCAGAACATAGCCCCTGGTCGTATACGCAGACTACAAAGAAGACGTAACAAGAAAGACAAGGACGATGAGGATGACGGTGAGGACAACCGGCGGCCATCAGACTCTAATTTTCTTTCACTTATACTGCTAATAGTACTCATACTGATGCTGTTCTTGATGGTGTTGTCCTTGATTGTCTGGCTTATGAGTTAGATGATTCTCTCCGTACTTGGGACAAACAAACAATCATACCAATGCAGCTTCTAATAATGTGTCTAGCTTATGATGGCCTGGGTTTTGAGTTATATGGTTTTCTACTCTGAACAAACTTGTGCGACCATATATATTAGCATGTAAGTGGAGTTGAAGAATCATATAGTTCAAGACAAATGCTACACGTTTTACCATATAATAATTCATGAAAATCCTAGGGACCAAACCAAGAGAGATATGACAGTGTTTAGATATTATTTAGTGAGGGTTATTGGAGATTGGAGATTGGAGAGGGGGTCGAAATGACGTTTGTCTTTTTATAGGTTTAATAACCATGATGGGACTCACCGAAAATATGTTGCAAGTGAAAACCGCCCGTCTTCACCTAAAATTGCAACTGCCGCCCATAAATAAGAGAAGAAATTAAATTCCTTTTACAACTTCTTCCAATCTCTCTAAAATTTATTAAAGGAAAAGACACACATATGGTAATTCTCTCTCAAGATATAATTTTTGCTTCAGAATTAAATTAAAAATATATTTATATTGTGAACTTTATTGTAATTCATTTAAGTAAAATGTGATTGTAATTGGTGACTATTAATATGATATTGAGATAAATTAGAATATTTGTTATTCTGAGTTTTCCAACATTGGTATTAGAGCTGTGGTTTGCATTTTTTTAATTTCATACTATTATGTTAAAACATTCTACAAGTTACTTAAATTCAGTTTTGAAATTTCATTTTTCATGCTTATAGGGTTGTTTTTCAGGTAATAACAATTAGATTATTAGATTTCTTATAAAATTACGAAGAAAATTGCTTTTGAATCACAAAAAAAGGGGTTTAAATGGCTTAATTAGGGGTGTTATCGAGCCGAGTTTTCGACTTAACGAGCTCGGCTCGTGAGAGAGGAGGAGTAAACGAGCCGAGCCCGAGCTGAGCCGAGCCAAAAATTATATGGCTCGGCTCGGCTCGATAGTGAATGTGGCATATTTCGAGCCGGCTCGCGAGCCATCTCCAAATAATATTGTTTTTATTTTTTTTAATTCAATTTTTTTACAAAATTTCGCTGGGCAGCAGCAGTCTGACTATGAAATGTTCTTTTTAATTCAATCCCATATGGATTTTATTTCCCATAATAGATTCTCATTTTTTTCTAAAGTGTGTGTTTAATTAATTTATATAAAATGTGAAACTATTAACTGCAATTTTTAATAATTATTTGTTACATGAATTAATGATCATAGCTGCATGTATTTCATGTCACACAAATTAATTCTATATTGGTTCATGCAGTAAGCTAAGAATAAATATTTGAGTCAGTTTGCTCATGAATTCAAAAAGAGTGGATGGATAGATAATTCCTTGGAAAAATATTGAAAAAGTAATTTTCCATAATTAAAACAATCGATAGCTAGCTCGAAATATGTTTTATTTTTCACTTTTCATTTATTTTGTCAAATGAAAATAAACCTACTTAATTTTCCATAATTGTCTGAATGTCTTCTCTGTCCTCATACATCACCCAACAGCTAAACCTACTTAAAATCAACATTAAATGAAATGCTACTGCTATTAAGAAATTATCATTTAACATACTGTATGTACCACAAATTAACTTAAGTGAACTAAATATTTTTTGTTTAGTTCACTTGACTTAATAAAGTTTTCATAAAAACAAAATGGGGGATTAGCATAACTATACATTAAATGACATCCCCATCCATCAAAAAATATATATAATAGCAAAAGATAATTGGTTGTATGTCTATTATAGCCCCACTCCTCCGACAAACGAATTAATGTGAAACATATTAAGTATAATTGTAATTTTATATAAACCATAAAGATGAAAATCCAAACCTCAACACAAAAGTAATAAATATAGACCTGCAGAATCCTACTGTCAAAGCCAATAACTCACGAGTGAATCAACCAATCTGCTGACTCCCATCACCTGATAGAATAGGAAGCTGAATCTCCAAGTGATCCTCATCCTCCTCTTTCTAAGATGAAAAAGAGAAAAATAATCTATAAGTTAGAATAAAGTTATTTTAAATATAGAATTAAACAAAACATGTAAGCAATGAAACTTACTCTGCACCCTTTCTTCACTTCATTCAAAGTGCGACACCAATCACATCCACATAACAACATCTCCACCGTAGCTGGTGACAAAGAAGCTCGGTAACTATCAATAACCCTACTACCAGCACTGAATGCAGACTCTGAAGCAACCATAGTGATCGGGATGGCTAGTATCTCTCGAGCCATCGTAGATAATACAGGAAACTTGGTTGAATTTGCCTTCCACCACTGTAAGGCATCGAATGAGTCATGATCTCCCACACACTTATGGCATCCCTCTCCCAAATAACAGTCCAACTCAGACTGACTAGGCTCAACAGTTTCAACCACATCCAGAAAAGTGGTAAAATCATCCCAGGCCTCGGCTCCCTCAACCGCAGCCACCTCACCAATGGCTCCATGTCCATCCCTTTGTGATGTAGAAGCACGGGCGATAGTCACACCTTGGTTAGCTTGAACATACTCCCCATATAACTCATACAATGCATCCCGGACCATCATCATATGTTCCCGTCCTTCTGCCTCTGAATACATCTTAGGGAATGCCCACTGAATAACCCTCATTTTCAACCGAGGATCCAATATAGCAGCCACAGACATCAACATATTACATTCCCCCCAATATTTATCAAACTTATGTTTCATTTTCCTAACAATTACTCTAATAAAATCATCTTCAGATTCACTTTTACTATCCAACATACATTTCACTGCACACACCTCCTTCAAGAATAAATTAGACGTTGGATAATCACTTCCTGAAATGAGTTTGGTTGAACCATTGAATACTTTCAAAACTTCACAAACTTTCTCCACTTTCTCCCAATCCTCGTCACTCGGATTATTATGATAATTGATATCCCTCTCTTTCACTCTTGGAAAAACCTTTTTGAACTTAATTGATGTTGCCAACATTTCATAGGTAGAATTCCACCTTGTTTTACAATGAAGAATAAGTTTCCGATACAACAATTTAAGTTGTTGAACAATCTCAGAAAATACCTTGAGTCTGCTTTCGGAACTATTGATATACAACACACTCTCATAGATGTCGTCAATGATATGCCTAATTTGATGAAGTCCATCTTGAACAATCAGGTTCAAGATGTGTGCGCAACATCTCACATGAAACAGTTTACCTCCACAAAGGAGTTTCCCCGAAACTTCAAAATTTTCTTTCAAAACCTTAATCGCAACATCATTGCTTAAAGCATTATCCACATAAATAGTATATACCTTATTTTCAATTCCCCATCCCATTAGGCACTTGAAAATGCCATCCGCAATCGCAATACCAGTCTGGGGAGGAGGTAGACAAACAAAGTTGAGGATAGGTCTATTCAGCCTCCAACTACTATCTATCCAATGCCCGGTCAACACCATGTACTCCATCTTTTGATTCCCTGAATTCCATAAGTCTGTAGTCAAACTGATTTTTGTCACAGTCTTCAACAAAGTCTTCAATTTGGCCTTCTCACTTTCATATACCATCATACAATCTTTTTTACAAGTGTGGCGAGAAACCGGAGTCCATCCAGGAATCCCATACTTCATCATATTGTTCAAGCCCTCTTCCTCCACAACTATAAATTAATGGATGCTCATGCATAAGCGCCCAATGGGCGATCAATTCCCTTATTTTTGATATGTCAAACTTCCTACTTAAGCTGACAAAATAGTAGTTGGAACATCATTACCGGCAATCAGAAAACTAATATGTTGTTGCCTCATGGAAGCTTTTCTCCTTAAACACCAGCTTAAATGTCTATTGAACTGGGTGGTGCTTCTGATGGCATGAATGCACAACTTGACTTTGCAATGGATACACTCAACCTTTTTGGTGCCATTAAGGAGTACCACCTCCTTGAACTCCGACCATGCCACTAAAGTCCTTGCTCTTTTTTGCTTTTGAATCGGATTTTGATTTTCATCACCATTATCCGGGCTACTAATATTTTGCTCCGTATCAGTAGTGGTTGCATTCAAGTTAAGGTTACCGCCAGGTGTATCGGTAATTGTATCTTGTATTGCAGGGGTACTTAAGGAATTACCCTCCATTTACAAACCTAAAAATGAAAAAAAAAAAAAATCAACAATTTAATGCAAAACCAATATGAAATAATGTCAAACTATTACATTGCACACACATCAAACCAATACATTATATATTGCACACCAATATTAATTGTCACCAATGCATCCCAACATTCATTCATTCTTTAATTAGAGACATTGGTTTTGTATCATGTTTGATTAAGTTTCACATGTTATAATATTTAGAATTTAACATGTTTTATTTTGAATTCATTAAAGTTGCATATATAAACTTAATTTATGTAAATAAATTGGAAGGGTACATAAATTGAAATTGAACTTAATTTATTTAATTTATGTAAATAAATTGGAAGGGTACATAAATCTATGTGCTGCCATGCCATGCCATATTAAGAAACTCAACCCGTATTCCATGTGAGTCACTAGGCCAGATTGGGAAATCATTTGTTCTATGCAAAGTAAGTTTTGAAGAATAATCTGTTTCACACATATCATGTATTTCTGCATTATCATCATAATCACATGCTATATAACATGTATATTTATTTCTATTCTAGTTAAGAGAACCAGATTCCACAAGAGCTTGAATGACCCCTCTGGGGGCCCATGCAGAAGTTCCTCTGAGTGAATCTTGAGTCTCAAACCTTTTTCAGTATTGTTTTGAAATTCATATTCCATTGATCTTTTTTTCTGTCTACTTTACATTTAAGGGTAAAAAATATAGATAATTTTACAGTAATTGCTTAGAATACACACAAAACCAAGGTAGATCCCCATTTCATCTATACTAGACTGAAGTGGACCCAAGCGGACCCCACATTAGTGCAAATTGCATTTCTTATTTTTGCTCACTTCTAAGCATGCTTTTACTTAAGCTTCTCATTATACTTAACAGGGTGGGCTTTATGTGTGCCGATAATAGATGATGTTTGAATATGCAGGGAGATTATATGTTGTTGGCATTCTTGGGATTTGTAGTTCAACACAATGTGATAGGAAAAGGACCATTTGACACCATTGCTCAAACACTAAAGGGTTACTAAATCAACTGTCTTCCTTTGGCAATCAATTTGAGTCAGATTTGAGCATCAATGTAAACATAGGACCTTTAATGTACAGGGGAACTTAGATGGCATTTATATTACCGTACATTACTTGCCCCAATTAAATTTTACTTTCTGTAGCAAGAATGAATACATACAAACACAAATCTCATCTACTCATATTTAAGGTACTGGCTCTGCTTTCTTTACCCCACACCAACACATTCCCACAAGTCAGCCACAAATTTTTAAATCCCCAGTCCCCACCATCAGATGCAGGACCACATTCCCACAAGCCACAAACACATTTAAAAACTACCTGTCGGCCAGCCCCCACCAACAAATGCAAAACGCCATAACCACATTCCCACAAACCACAATAATTAAATAACAACTAGTCAACCATTAACAAACTACAATTGAAATTTTTTCCCAACTCAACCACAATCACAATTCATAAACAATTTAAATAAACCGTCAAACATACCCATACGTGGCACTACTCTTCACATATACACAAGCATTAACCTTGTATGGGTTTCACAGTAACACCACCATGGCACTACTCTTGACAGACTGCTCTTCTTGAATTCTTTCACCGGAAAAAGCCCCCTGTTACAGACGAACAAATCACGAAAAACAAGTTAAAATTTGACAAAAATTGAAGAAACCCCAAACAAACAATTAAATCCCAATCGACTAGCCAGGACTGATGACGAATAGATGATATCCAGTTCAGATCTGACGAAAATCTGACAAAGATCCAACAGCTGCCGAAGGTCCGAAGAAGATGAACAAATCCGGAGAAGATCCGACGAAGCTAACAAAGATGAACAAGATCTGGCCGCAAACCAACACTTTGGGAGGATTTGATTCAAATTTTACGGCAAGGGTTCGAGTGTGACGGATTTTTCGCGATTTGGGGATTTTAATAATGGGGCCAGTTTGTTATTTTTCAAAACTTGTTTGCATTATTTTAATTAAGTCCCAATGTTTCAGAAATTCTCAAAAACACTCGCGCTTTTTCGAGCCAGGCGTGGCTCGCGAGCCGGACGAGCCAAGCTTTGTATGGCTCGAACTCGGCTCGTTTTGTCTCACGAGCCAAGTCGAGCCGACTCGTTATCAGACGAACTAAGTCGTTAACGAGCCGAGCCGACTCACGAGTGGCTCGGTTCGTTAACCAGCCCTAGGCTTAATTATGCTTCTTTAAAGATTTGGGTTCGTAATGGGTTGTTTTTCGGGTCAGGTACCAAGTTGTAGACCCGATAGAGGTAGAAGATGACCATATTGACCAACAAGTCGTTTTAATTTCAGCCTTAGAAACGACTTGTCATTTGTTTTTACTAACTTTGTCATTTGTTTTTACTAACTTTTAATTAAAAAAAAAACCATAGAAAGAAGGCACCATGACTTGAACCTAGGCCTTTCAAGGAAATAACTGACCTTAAACCATTTGGGCAATTTTTTGAATTAAACTATAACTTGTAACACAATTTTTTATTTTAAAGTCTGTTGCATTTTCTTTATACCATAAGTAGGGTTGTTCAATGAGGCGAGCCACTTACAAGCCAACTCAGCTTGGCTCGTTACCGACTCACCTTATCTGTAGTCCAGCCAGTTCAGCTCGACTCATGAGAGAGATTGAGCCACGTTCAAGCCTACCTCGACTCGACTCAGTAGGCTTGCGAGCGGAGAAAGCCATAACAGTTGCACGCTTCGCCAATTTGTTGAGCAAGCTTGCTATTACCACAACTCGTGGGATCCATCAAAATTTAAGCTACGTAGATGAATGAAGGCAAAGAGAGAGCTACTCACGCAGCTGAAACTAAATATAAAACCAGTCCCCTTAACGGGCGTTTAGTAAACAAGAAAACCCATTTTTGGGGTCTTATCCCATGAGGCCAGGACCACCAATGCAAGAATGCAACTGGCTACTCGGGTTTTATCCCATGAGGCCATGACCACCAATGCAAGAATGCAACTAGCTACTTTTCCCACACAAAATTTGCCCCATAATTACATTCTCACCCATAAACTTAGGAAAAAAAAACATTTTCCCACCCATCGTTAAATTCAGACATTAGTTCTAACGACGGTATTCTTGTCAATTTACACAACACATATTATAGAGTTGATGTTACATACACCCCTAAATTACAAATATATAAAATCACCTTCACCAACTTGGAAATTAGTCATTTAAATTCTTATCTTCAATTTCTATAATTACAATAGAGATTTCACTATTAAAGTAATGTGTTTCTAAAAAAATTTAAAATTGTATATATCATTTATAAAAATTATAATAATATATGTCAATTAAATATTTATAAAACTACAAAACAATATTTCATTAAAATATTGTATACATTTTATGAAATTATAAAAATTAAAAAAAAATGTAAAAAAGAAGAAAAACCTGAAAATTAAAAATTATGAAAATTAAAAAAAAAACTAAAAAAAAAAGTTGGTCAAAATCGCACCCAGCAATTCCGGATGATTCGAACTCGGTTGAGTGCGATTCTAATTGATTCACACCCAGCCAGGTGTGATTCGTTCAGATTTGCACCTAGCTAGGTGCAAATTCGCCGGAATCACTAGATGCGATTCTAACCAACTATTTTTTTTCAAAATTTTATAATTTTTTTATTTCTTTATTTTAATAACTAACTTAATTTTTTTTTTTAATTTATTAACCCTAAAATTAATATAAACCAAATTAAGGGTGAAAAATATATTTAATAAAGTTTTGGTGGGAATCAGGGACAAATGATTAAAAGGCGATATTGGCTTTGAATTTAACTAAAAGGCCATCTAGTTTTTTAGTCTTTACTAAATGGCCTTATTTTTTATTAAGACAAACTAATGATAATTAAACACTAATCATAGCTTAATTAGGATTAATGAAGTATTGTGTAATCTATTAAAAATTATAATATGCCCCCAAAAACCTGAAATTCTTGCAAACAAACCTAAACATAACATCTTTTTCTTCTTCCTCCCGCCATTAAGGCATCTCTCCCCTGGTTGCTGTTTATCCTAAGCTTCGTCGACATCTTCTTCTTCCCCCCATTAACACTCTCTTTTTCCTCTGCCATTAACATCTTCTCCACCATAGATCCTCCTCCTCCTCCTCCTCCTGACATTTCGTCTAGGTATGTGTATCTCTTTTTTCCATTTTATATTTCGATTTACAAAGATTTAACGATGGATTGGGTTTGGGTTATGATTTTGATTTAGTTGTTTAGGTTGTTGGATTGTATTTGATGTAATGCAAGTTAAAAGGAGTGAAATTTGTTGAATATTTTCTTGTATTGTGAGTAGTTGGGGGTGGTAGCACCGATTGTAGGTGGAGATGACTGAAAATATGTTCTATATATGATGGATCGCTTAAGCGATCTTGTATATCTTATTTAATGCAGCAGATCATAGATCGCTTAAGTGAAAGCGATCAGATATATGGTAGAAGATCGCTTAAACGATCTACTGTAAGTTTAATATATAGCAGCAGATCGCTTAAACGATCAGGTAGATGGCAGAAGATCACTTAAGAGATCTGCTATAAGTTTGTGCATGGTAGCAGATCGCTTAAGTGATCAGGTAAATGACAGAAGATCGTTTAAGCGATCAGGCTTATTTATATCAGATCGCTTAAGTTATCTAGTAAGCGATATACCAGATCGCTTAAGCGATACACCAAATTGCTTAAGCGATACACCAAATCGCTCAAGCGCCTCTATAGATGCTTTTTAAAATCTTTCAACCTTTAATAAATCAGTTAATAATTTTTTTTTTCTTGCATTATAGGTACTTGGCTATTATTAGACATGAGACAAGTTGTTTTGGGTGTTGAATATTTTGGTGAGTAGTGGAGGAGAAAGTTGCTAGAAGTGGAGTAGGAAGAGCAAAGAATTTATACCAATTGCTGTGAGCACAAAGGTTAGTTTTGATGAGTTGATT